GAAAATTAATATATCTAAGATATGAAACACACTAAAAGAATTTTAAATACCAGAACTAATAGTGGAGTATATTCTCCTTAAAATCAAACAATATCACATCTTACACCAGTGAGAATGGCACATATTAAAACAACTGGCAAAAACAAATGTTGGCGAGGATGTGGAGAAAAAGGAACTCTCCTGCACTGCTGGTGGGAATGCAAACTGGTCCAACCACTATGGAAAGAAATATGGAGGTTCCTCAAAGTGCTAAAAATGGAGCTTTCATATGATCCAGCAATTCCACTTCTAGGTATCTACCCAAAAGACACAAAAACATTAATTCAAAAGACACCTGCACCCCTATGTTTATTGCAGCACTATTTACAATAGCTAAGCTGTGGAAACAACCCAAATGCCTAAAAATAGATGACTGGATCAAGAAGATGTGGTATATATACATAATGGAATACTACTCAGCAATCAAAAAAGATAAAACTCATACCATTCACAGCAACATGGTTAGAGCTAGAAGGGATCATGCTCGGTGAAATAAGCCAGAAGGAAAAGGAAAAATACTGGATGGTTTCACTAATAGGAGGAATGTAGGGGGTCCAAATAAGGGATGAGGAAAAAAAATAATTATAATAAAGTAAAAAGCATAATCAACAGGCAACTATAAACCAGAGACATTCTGCAGGGAGGGAGGTGGGGATTGGAGCAAAATGGGGTGGGAAGAGTACAAGGGACTATGGTGATGGTACACACGTGAAATGGTGGTGGGAATTCCATGGGGACTATACCCAAGATGATAAAGCATACGTTGTATAAAAATGAAGAATGATGTAAAAAATATATAAAATAATAATTTTTTTAAAAAATCAAACAACAGCACTGCATCACCCACCAGTGCTTTCAATGGTATAAAGTATGAAAGGTCTAAATTCTAATGCAAAAATGCTAATATAAAGATATAATTCTAATATAAAATTCTAATTGATAAGAGAACAATTTAATTGGCAGTGTTTTTTATTTAACTGGTGGTAAATAAATAATTGAAGTATTAAAACTGGTAACATTTTCAATTAGATGAAATACTATGTATAAATAGCTATTTGCATATCCTTTCTCTGGCATTAATTTGGACATTTCTCCCCTAAAAGAGGAATATGAGAATTTTCTTTTCTTCCAATTTCCCAAAAATTTTAAAAGCAGCTCAGTTTTTCAAGCGATCATAACGTAGCCAATAAGAAGGAAAATTATCCTAATACCTAAGGTGCTGAGGCTATTGCCACAATACCACTACATTATTTATTCTCCACTGCTCTTGTAACAGACAAAACTAAAAAAAAAAAAAAAAAAAAACCCAAACCCTAGAAATCTGACTACAGAGCTGAGGCGACCAGAGCAGGAGAGTGGACGAGTGGGGAAGACACCCAATGGACTACCGTGGAGGATTACTGTGAGTGCTGTTAGTAGCGGTGGGGGTGATTTGGCATTAACATCTAAAGATGTGAACCTGTACCTCTAAATCATACACAGTGTTGTAAACCAATATTATCACAATAAAAAATAATGAATTAAAAAATATCATGTGGCATTATAAATTCATCAGATATTTAATTTTTAAAACATCCTCATATGATTATTAATAATAGTGAAAAACGGAGAAAGTTAAATGTCAACTGATTGAAGTATTAAACAGAAATATACTAGAAAGTCCTAAGTACACAAACAATATGAAGGAGTAAAAAATGACATCGAAATATGTTCATGACATGAAAAGCAGTTAATGAAAAAAAGAACATTTAACCTCATTCTTGGCAAAATATTTAAAGATAGTATTGAAAATGGAGAAACAGTTATTAATTCATTCAACAATTACTAAAATTCTTTTATGTATCTGGTACTGTGCTGGGCACAGAAAAAACAAGGTGAACTTGCTGCCCTCAGGTAGGGAGTAAATTAGGAAACCACCAGAGAAAGAAAATCAACTTATAAACAAGTAATCACCCACCCAAACCATAATTAAGTAACATTCTCTGTTCTGTGGTTAGGTTTCTTGGAGCAAAAATAGCTATAAGTTTCCCATTCTTCTTTCACTCTCTAATGGGAATATCTATTATGGCTGTCTCTACCTACCTCAGATGTATATTGAGTGAATTTAGGAGTAACTTTCCTTCTTAGTTCACAGGTATCCAGAGCAAGAAAAGCTGCACCTAAAAAGTCTCATCCACATCCCAACCTAATACAGATCCTAAGACAATGGATTTTGAATAGATCAGATGAGCTCTCTAATCATCTTAAGAGGACTGAAGAGATGTCAATTGTCCACTAAGAAAGAATAGCAATAGTCCATTTGCAATGAGGAATGCCAATAAGGACTGCCTATTCATACACACTACTTCTCCCATTAAGAAGTAGAACATATTTCTGTCCCTTAAATCTTGACTAACACTATGTTCTGCATTGAAAATCAAAATGCAGTGGAAATAAGGGTATGTAGTTTTGAGCCCAGGCCTTAACAGGGCAAAAAATTTCTATTTTTGTTCTCTTGCTACCCTGAATCACCATGTATAGAAATCCAGACTATCCTTCTAAGAGATACAAAGAAGACAGAAAAGGTCCTGGTTGATGAACAGGCCACCTAGAGAACAAATAAAGAGTCTCAACTAAAATTCAGCACTACAGTGATCTTGGATTATTTAGTTCCATTCAAGTCAGCTCAAGCCAGGTCTGAGACTTGCGTCTCAGAACAAGGTGTGCCCTGACCAAACCCTGATCTAAAATTTTTGATTATTAAAATACCTGTGATTTTGGGCCTCCCTGGTGGCACAAGGTGTTAAGTCTCAGCACTATGAAACTACCCACAGCCGCTGCAGAATGAGTTCGACCCCCCACCCAGGGACCTAACACATAGAGTGCAGCAGACCTCTCTGGTCTATACCCGCTGCTCCCCTCAGCAGAGTATTTCAGTGGATCTGCCTGTTCTGCTCTCAACTCTGTCTCTGGTGAATCCTCTCACCTCCTTTCCCTCCCTCGCCCGGAACCTCTGGTCTACACCCCAGCTCTTCTATGTAAAAATAAATAAAATTAAAAATTTTAAAAATACTTGTGATTTTTTTTTAACAATTAAATGTAATGGAAAACTGAAAATGTACTCAACAAAGACTACAAAGAGAAAGGAAAAGTACTAGGTACTTTCTAAGAGTAAGTATTAGGGATCCCAATGTAGTTGTAGTAGGAAAGATTTTGTTGAGGAACGACATATTTAACAACCATTACTTAACACAATTTAATAGGGAATTGTAAATAGTAATTTTGTTGGTTTAAGTTTCTATTTTCCAATCTGCATGTTGTACTTTTGAAATAACAATTAAAATGTTACCCTATTAAAATCTCCTTAAGGATAGTGTTGATAACTTACACTTCTATTGTACTGCAATTTATAAAGTCTAAATTATATTTTCCCATCACAAAATAGGCAAAACATTTCAATGAATAACAAAAGTTTTCTATTGTCCAATGTAGGTGAAGAATGGGATATTGTGATTATACTAACTTGTCCAAAAATAAAAAGTATATATTGGTTAAATAATTTCTCAGGAATTAGAATGCATAACAGAAAATTAACCTAAAATTATACCGCTTATAACTTATTATCACACTGATAATCGGAAACTTCTTTAAGCTTAAGTAATTCCTCACAGTTACTGTAAACTGCTATCAAAAACAAGACTGAAAGAAATAAAAAACAGAATTAAAGGGGAAATGATCCCACTGCAAAAAATGGACTAAAACCAACATGAAAAAATTATGGTAATTGAGAAGACAACCACATTTGGGTTAATAAGAAATCCACCATATGAGCATTCGTGTGTGAGTAGACGGTAGGAGATACGGCAACGACACATGATGGGAGAAATCAAATACTGTACAAAAATGAATATAAGAAAAATTTTAAATTTAATTAAAAAATTTAAAAAAATAAAATAAAAGCGCTAGGGAAACAACAACATGAAAAATCTACCATAAAAATACAAAAGGAAAAAAAATCCAGCTTAACAATATGAAAAAGCCTTGACTTTTTTCACAAGAGTATGAAAAACATTTGACTGGCCACAAATACATTAGCCAGTAGTAAGCCTCATCAATATAAAAAATGTTACTGCAATCTCAGACTTCATTAATGTATTTAAGTTAACAAATACTTGCTGTTAAACCTACAATGCACTATGTACCTTATTAAGGGAATACAATAACAAGATCCAGGAAAGGACCAATCTAACCATATTTAGAACTAGTCAAACCATATATGGACTATTAAATCCACACAAAGGAAATGGTTAAAAAAATTATGTAAATATGACCTACAAAAGGAAACATTTCTAATTTGAATACCACCCTAAAAGGAGAGCAATCTCTTAAAAAAATTATTTCATTTTGCCAAAACATGACTACTATGTGATGAGTATTGTGCTTAGCAGTGTAGTTAAAGTGAAAAACAAAATAGATACCTTCCCTGTCCTCACCCTACTTATAGTCTAGTGAACACCCTATCATGGAAGAACTTTAACAGGTACAAAATAATAATCTGCCAAGCATATTATAAAAAGAGATAAATATACTTTGCAGAAGGCTGAAATAAATGACCTCCAATGTTAATTCATATCTAAGATTTTATTATTACTTACAGCTCTGTACCATAATACAATAGTAACTGCTACTCTGAGATAAATGTCTAAAGAATAAAACAATATGCAAGCCGATATACACAAGATTTTAAATATTTCTGCTTAATAAAAATAACGATGTCAGCTCGTATGTTCAGCCTTCATAGGTAGACTATTCAAAACCAACTTCAATCTACATTAATAAAATACAACCTCATATTTTAATTTCATTTCAAGTAGTAAAATTATAAATCTCCTTATCCTAAGATTATCTCACCCTAGTTAAATTAATTCCAAAGAAACTAATAGCTATGATTTCACTGGGATTTCTTATATTAATCAATATACCTTTCCATGGCTTTAGCTGTATAAGGCAAATGCATTTCAATACTGTGTTCATCTTCATCTGTCTGCAGAGACATGCGTTCAAACATTCCTGTTTTCCATAGTTCTCCATAAACTAAAAAGATTTCAAAAAACAAACAAATTAATGTATATCCTTATCCTCTGATATTCTGTTCATTAATACAAAATTATGTTTTAGTAAGAGACAGAAGCACCACATAATATTCTACTTCAGTTCAGTTTAATTTTTAAAGAAGAAAACAACTAGTTTTTCACATAGCAAACAATAATACATGTTATGACTTACTCAGCATTTTCAATGTTACACCATCACATAAAAACTAACTAAATTTTTCATCCATTTCTTTCATTATATCTAAAATCACCTCTGGGTAGGCCTTTTTTTGACCTTTTTTTTGTTTATTTTTTTCATTTGTGCATTTTTCACTTTTTTTTTAAAGATTTATTTATTTATATGAGTGCTGGAGTACAGGCCAGATGCGTGGGAGAGTGAGAGGATTCACCAGAGACAGAGTGGGGAGCAGAACAGGCAGAATGACTGAAATACACTGCTGAGGAGAGCAGGGGGCGAGACAGGAGAGGTCTGCCGTGCCATGTGGGATTCTTGCCAGCCAGCCGGGATCAAACCCACGCTGCAGAGCTTTACAGTGTGGCACTCAACTGCCTGTTCCACCAGGGAGGCCCTTTTCTTTAACTTTAATTAGTATATACTACAAGAACATTGTAGATTAGAGCTACAAGTATGGAAAACCCACTGGTCTACTTAACTCGTGATTAATTATACAGTTTATGAGTTTTCTTGTTTAATAAAATACATGAAATTCTTATTTCATATCTCAGAGTCCCGCCAAACTAAGAATAGAAAATTTCAAGTAAATATCATTTTCCCTCAAAGTTAAAAGTTAAGTTGTGGGACAGAACAGAATATAAATTTACCACAGTAATATAATATAACTGATCTTAAGTTGAAATAGTATTAATTCAGAAGTTTCTGGTGAATTATACTTTAAAAAATGGATAGGGCCTCCCTGGTGGCACAAGGGGTTGAATCTCAGCACTATGAAGCAATCCGCAGTCAGTATAACACGAGTTCCATCCCTGCCCAGGGAGCTGACCCACATGGAACAGCAGCCCTCTCCTGTCTCACCCGCTGCTCCCCTCAGCAGTGTATTTCAGTGGATCTGCCTGTTCTGGTGAATCCTCTCACCCTCTCATACGTCTGGCCTATACCCCAGCTCTTGTATGCATAAATAAATAAATCTCCAAAAAATAAAAAAATTAAAAATAGATAATGTATAGCAAGAAAATATTAAATTTTTAAATGATATAGGAGTATTTTTAAAAGTAAAAAAATGACATAGGATTCTTTATCATAGAATCAATGATTTTATAACTACATCCTTAGAAGTAGAAATAGGGTATATGACTATCTTCAAAATTATGTCTGATTAAAAATTCTCCCTTCTTAATGAAAGGATATTCAAAACCAAAGTTTTCTGAATTTCCCAACAAGATTTTAAAAATAAATATTTTATTTAAAATTACAAGATAAAAACATCCCGTACAGCCAACCCAGGAAATAAGGTTAGTAACACTCTGAATTTCATTAATAATGTACATTTTAACAGACTGCCGATACTTTATACTTAGAAAAATAGGTTATCATTTCCTTTGCAAATGACTTCTTTCATTCTACATTAAGATATATTGCAAAATTTCTTGGAACAATAAGCACCTAACATACTTAAAAATATAATTAGATAAACTGGAAGAAAAGAAGTTCATAAAGGTGATTACTTTTGGGAATATAAACTGAAGTCAAAAAAGAAAATTCAAGTCAACTACAGATAACGTGTACATAAGCATTTGTGACACTATTCTCTAGATTGCCCTGTGTGTTTAAAAATTATGCTCTCCCAGGCCTCCCCGGTGGCACAGCAGGTTGAGTCCAGTGCTGTGAAGCTGTCCACAGCCTCTGCAGCGTGGGTTTGATTCCCTGCCAGCCAGGGAGATACCCACATGGTGGGGCAGACCTCTCCTGTTTCCCCCACTGCTCCCCTCAGCAGTGTTTTCCTCAGTCTGCCTGTTGTGCTCCCCACTCTGTCTCTGATTAATTCTCTCACCCTCCTACACCTTTGGCCTATACCCCAATTCTTGTATAAATAAATAAATCTTTAAAAAAAAAAAAATTATGCTCTCCCATTCCCCAAAACTACTATGAAAAGTAGAAAGGTTTCACTTTAATACATCCATATCCAATGTATAAAATGAACAAAACTAAATGATTTGTGGAATCCTATAGGAAAATAAATCAAAATAGTCATGTTTTAAAACACTTATGATTTATGTAGCACCTTTCTTTCAGAATCTGTCTCATTTTTCCTCACCAAATAGCTGAAGGAAATAAAGGAAGTAAATAACACAGAGGCTAACTACTTTCATCAATCTGTTGAGGGAACTAATTTTTTGTCTCATGATACAATGAGTACATGGTATTTCCCTGAAATAAACACAACCACTTCAGGGTGAAGGCTAGTAGATCTGACAGAAAAGTCCAATTTTGTCTTTTAGGCTTTCTTCCTTTTTATTTTTTTGCAGGCTGATTACAATAAATTATATTTTTTAATTGAAATATTATTTGTGCTATTCGTATTTTTAATTTTTTAATTACCTTATAATTCCTATTTAAAAAATATTTTGCTGTTTGAAAGGTGTAAGATTTCTATATACTTACTCTTTTGGTCAATACGAAGGTCATACAAAGGTGTTCTATATATATCCACACTGGAAAGTGCACATCGAGAAAGGGGCACGTGATGAGAAGGCCCAAGGATGAAAATTCTCCGGCTAGGAGATATACAACAAAAAACAGAACAATTGTACTTCTATAAACCTTTTTAAATAAAAGGAGAAAAAATAAGAAAAAAATTAAATTACATGTGATGCCTTTTATTTTTGATTAATTTCATTACCTACTTTCAAGGCCTTCATTTTGTTCATATGAAAGTCCAACCCCCAGCACCTGAGAATGTAACTGTATTTGGAGATGAGATCTTTAAAGATGTGATTAAGTTAAAATGAGGCAATTAGGATGAAGCCTAAGTATAAAAAGACTGGTGTCTTTATAAGAAAAGGAAGAGATACTATAGAAGTACACATAGTAGTGACCATGTAAAGAAGCTCAAGGGGAAAACCAGTTGTCTAAGCCAAGGGGAGGCACCCAGGAAATAACCAAGTCTGCCAGCAACAACTGTGCTACAACCTACTTCATGGTATTTTGTTACAGCAGCACTAGCAAACTAACAGCAAACTAATATACCCACTAATGATTTGCTTCTCAGTTAATTAAATTACTTATCTTTATCTCTTTTTTGACCATTTTAATTTTTCAAGTTTATAGTTCAGTATCATTAAATACAATATTCATATCTCTATCACTCTACCATATCTCCATCACATGAAGATCTTTAAAAGAACCATGTTCAACACCTGGAAAAACTAGTTACCATCTAAAAAGAACCAATTTGCTATGGTTAAACTCATCTGTTTTCATAATGACTAGGACACTGGAGGTTTTTAATTACAATATTAATTGAATTTTAAACATTTCAGCTATTTAATTAAAATCTCAAACTTTCAACATTTTCTAAATTTGCCTTCTCAGGTCTACCACAATTCTAATAAAAATACATAATGGTAAAAGTTTTCAATATTCACATAAATTATTACAAAGAAGCATCATGATAAAAGTTATTTTTGTATTTCTTCCATGGAAGAGAAAAAGGACATTTTGGGGGTGAACGATTCTGTGTAATAAGCTTTCTCTGTTCAAATTCAAGTAAAAGTTACTCTCAAAAACAAAATAAAATTGATTATGTGTAATTTGCAATACAGACTGGCGAAAAGAACTAAACTGTAGTTTTAAGTCTTTAGAATCCAGGGTGTCCCTGGTGGTGCAGGGTTAAAAGTCTCAGTGCTATCAAACTATCACCAGACACTACAACATGAGTTCCATCCCCAGCCAAGGAGCTGACCCACATGGCACAGCAGACCTCTCCTGACTAGTCTGCTGCTCCCCTCAGCAGTGTTATTTCAGTATTTCTTCCTGTTCTGCTTGCCACTCTATCTCTGGTGAATTCTCTCAGCACCACCTCTACCCCACACAACTGGCCAACACCCCATTTCTTGCATGCATAAATAAATAAAAAATAAATCCTTTTAAAAAATCTTTACAATCCCTTTATCTTGCTATCAAGTGTAAAATTCCTCATTTATCTCAAACATTCTTACAATCTGAAATTTAAACTATCCATTTTCTCTGTTCTTTCAGATTCATTTTAATGAAATCTCCTCTGCCCCACATGCACACACAAAAACTTATAGACTGGGCCTCCCTGATGGCACAGGCAGTTGAGCACAGCGCTGTGAAGCTTTCCGCAGCCTCTGCAGTGGTGGTTCACTCCCCGCCAGCTGCAGAGCAACCCACATGGCAGGGCAGACCTTTCCGTGTTGCCCGCTGCTCCCCTCAGCAGTGTATTTCGGTCATTCTGCCTGTTCTGTTCCCCGTTCTGTCTCTGGTGAATCTTCTCACCCTGCCACACATCTGGCCTGTACCCCAGTTGTGTAAATAAATAAAATAAATCTTTTAAAAAAAACTTATAAACCCCCAAAAAGAAAAACTATGGGAAAGAAGGGAATATGATAGACTATGTAACCAGAAAATTAAATACTACTCACTGTTCAATTAATGGACAAAAAGGAAAACATGGAGGCCTCCCCAGTGGCACAAGGGATTAAGACATAACCTATGAGGCTATCCAAGGCCACTGCATCACAAATTTGATCCCCAGCCAGGGAGCTGCCCACATGGCTCAGCAGACCTCTCCTGACTTGCCCATGCTCCCCTCAGCAGTGTATTTCAGTCAGGCTGCCTGTTCTGCTCCCCACTCTGTCTCTGGTGAATCCTCTCACCCCCCACACCTCTGGCCTATACCCCAGCTCTTATATGCATAAATAAAAAAATCTTTAAAAAAAAAAAAAGAAAGAAAAGGACAACATGGAAACTAGTTATTTCTCAGCAAAAATTTGTAAGTCCAGGACATGTGTTTTAGCAATATATTCATTTTAATAAAATTCCACTGAAGATAAAATTATTGCCTGTCACATGTTACTTTGTTTATTGAGGAGATACAGTAGGGGAAATAAGAAAGATGTAGATAAAGATAAAAGGATTCTCAGTTTAGTGTACCCAAGCCGCTCAAAAACCCACACATAACAGGGCCTCCCCAGTGGCGCAGCGGTTGAGCGCTGGGTTGCGAAGCTGCCCGCAGCCTCTGCAGCGCCGGTTCGATCCCCGGCTGCTCCCCGGCCACCGGAGGAGGGTCCCACATGGCGCGCAGACCTCTCCTGCCGCCCGCTGCTCCCCTCAGCTGTGTACTTCGGTTCTTCTGCCTGCTCTGTTCCCCGCTCTGGCTCTGGTGAATTCTCTCACCCTCCCACGCTTCGGACTGTACCCAGGGCATGTATAAACCAACCAAACAAACAAACAAATAAATAAATAAAACATGCCTCTATTAAAAAAAAAACAAACCCACACATAACAAACATGTAAGACTTCATCCACAGACCCACTTCTAGTCAGAAACATACTATCTTTACACCTATCACTTCCCTCTAGTGCTATATTCATTTCTTGTCATCATATCCAAGATCAACTCAATTGTCATTTATGAAAAAATTTCAAATATATAAAAATCATAAATGAACAAGAGAGATACCACTATGTTCTCCTAACACTATATAAAATACACAATTTTTTAAATTAAGGTCTAATACAGGACAAATATAATGTAGGTAAGTTGCCTAAGGACAGGAATTATATAAACCAAGAATCAAATATGGAAAAAACACCTTTTTATGATTAAAGAATCCATTTCTATTGGGAGGGGGCAGATATTTATCATCAGAACACCCACAGGAAATCCAGGATATGTGATTAAAACTTGAAATGACTTTTAAAATAACAATCTAAAATCAAAGCATAGATACAATTCACAGGTAAGGTGTAACAAAGTTGTAACAGTGGCCAAAAAAGGTGTGCAATACTTAAAGAATCCCCAAATATTAGCATATAGTCACTATTACCATATATGTAAAAGAAATTTTGAAACTTAAAAAAAAAAAAAAGGCACTGGGCCTCCCTGATGGGGCAGACAGTTGACCACAGCACTGTGAAGCTGTTCCCAGTCTCCGCAGTGCTGGTCCGATCCCCACCGGCCACAGAGCAACCCACATGGTGCAGCAGACCTCTCCTGTCTAACCCACTGCTCCCCTTCGCAATGTGTTTCAGTCAGTCAGCCTGTTTTGTTCCCCGCTCTGTCTCTGGTGAATCCCCTCACCCTCCCACACATCTGGCCTGTACCCCGGTTCTTGTATAAATCTTTTTTTTTTTTATTTATTTTTTTAATATTTATTTATTTTTTTATTTATTTATGCATGCATGCAAGCATGCATGCATGCATGCATGCAAGCACTGGGTACAGTCAGAAGCGCGGGAGGGTGAGAGAATTCACCAGAGCCAGAGCGGGGAACAGAGCAGGCAGAAGGACCGAAGTACACTGCTGAGGGGAGCAGCGGGCGGCAGGAGAGGTCTGCGCGCCATGTGGGACCCTCCTCCGGTGGCCGGGGAGCAGCCCGGGATCGAACCGGCGCTGCAGAGGCTGCGGGCAGCTTCGCAACCCAGCGCTCAACCACTGCGCCACCGGGGAGGCCCTAAATCATTTTTTTTTTAAAAAGGCACTTTCTAACATATAAATGTAGCTCAGAAATGTGAATTTTCCAAAGAATGCACATTTGTGGATTTACCTTAACTATATGAGTGCACGTGCAATAAGTTAATTACTTGAGTATCTGCCTTCATAAATATTCAACTACTTATTCTAAATAATGAAACACAAATAATTTTCTAAAGGTGTTTCATTTCACTTAAAGGCAAGTGAAGATATTTCAACTGAAGAATAAAATGTCATACAGCCATAAAGATTCCTTGTTGCTCTTTCTTCCTGCCCTGTATGTCTTTCTGAAAGGTATGAGTCAAAATCAAGTTACTACCTAAGTACAACTTGAACTCTAGGTTTTCATTAAAGATTTATCAATAACAAAGGACTCTGCAACTATAAATATGGAAAAGAACTTGATTAAATGTGCCAGTTTTTTAAATTCCTTTAACAGAGTGCCCTCAGTAAAAGAAACATCAGGGGCCACCCTGGTGGCACCAAGGGTTAAGGCTCAGCACTATAAAGCATTCGGCAGACACTGCAGCACAAGTTCAATTCCTGCCAGGGAGCTAACCCACAAGGTGCAGCAGACTTCTCGATCTTACCCACTGCTCCCCTAGCAGTGTATTTCAGTAGTTCTGCCTGTTCTGCTACCTATCTCTGATGAATCCTCTCTATCTCTGATGAATCCTCTCACCTCTCTGCACCTCTGGCCTATACCCCAGTTCTTATACGCATAAATAATAAATAAATCTTTTTAAAAAACACAAAAATAAAAATCAGATTGCATCATTCCCCAGCTAAAAATCTTTCAAAGGTGCTTCATGGTCAGAGAATAAAATGCAAAATTCAAACTTTCAAATGAACTGTTCCCTTCAAAGCTTTCACATATTATCATTCCTTTTGCTTTGCTTAAAAATCATTTTCTCAAAGATGTATTACCCAATACCATACCCACATTCTAAATGGCATCACGGTATATCACAACAGTTCTCCAAGCGTGAACTGTGGATTACCAGAATTCCCCAAAACCTTTCAAGAAGTCCACAAAATGAAAACTGCATTCATAAAGTACACAGAATTTGCCTTGTTCACTGTGCTGACATTTGCATTTATGGGACAAAACTGAGCCTGAGACACTGTTGGCACTTTAGAAGCATAATCAAGGTAATGCAATTAAAATGTACTTGTAGTCATACATTCTTCACCTTCATTGACATCGACACCGAGATTTATTTTTTAAATGTGGTTATTTTTTATAAATTATTTTTTACATCATTGTTCATTTTTAAACAATTTATTTGCTTCCCTTGACCCCCTCAGGTGTAGTCTCCATAGAATTTCCTTAACCAATGCACCCGTGCACCATCACCACAGTTCCCTGTGTTCCTCCCTCCTCCTCCCCTGCAGTATGTCCTTATTTATAATTGTCTGGTTTTGCTTTGTTGTGTTTTGTATTGTTATTATTTTTTTACACTGATATCTTTATTTGGTTCCCCTATATTCCTGCTATAAGTGAAACCATCTGATAATTTTCCTTTTCCTTCTGACTTATTTCACTGAGCATAATTCCTTCTAGCTCCATCCACGTTGCTGCGAAAGGCATGAGTTTATCTTTTTTGATTGCTGAGTAATATTCCATTGTGTATATATATCACATCTTCTTGATCCAGTCATCTATTTTTGGGCATTTAGATTGTTTCCATAGCTTACCTAGTGTAAACAGTGCTGCAATAAACATAGGGGTACAGGTGACATCAAGGCTTTTTAAGGCCAGTTTCACTTAATTTCTTTAAATTTTGAACTGTGAGTATAGTTTTATAAAAAAAATTCAATATTCAGTATAATAAAAAGCATTCAATTTGTAGTGATAAATGCATAAAGCACTTCAAGTATATCTCATGAAAAGCATGTGATTGTGAGTTGTAAACTAAACAATTTTTTCAAGAAATACAAGTTTTTTTGTTTTTTTTTTTTTTTAATTTTTTTTTCTAGAGGCATGTCTTATTTATTTATTTATTTATTATTTGTTTGTTTGGTTTATACATGCACTGGGTACAGTCAGAAGCGTGGGAGGGTGAGAGAATTCACCAGAGCCAGAGCGGGGAGCAGAGCAGGCAGAAGGACCGAAGTACACTTGCTGAGGGGAGCAGCGGGCGGCAGGAGAGGTCTGCGCACCATGTGGGACCCTCCTCCGATGGCCGGGGAGCAGCCGGGGATCGAACCGGCTGCAGAGGCTGCAGGCAGCTTCGCAACCCAGCGCTCAACCGCTGCGCCACCGGGGAGGCCCAAGAAATACAAGTTTTACTTCAAAAAAAAAAAAAAGACTGTAGATAGCTATTTTTTTTAAAAAAAAAATATTTATTTATTTATACAAGCATTGGATATAGTCAGAAGCATGGGAAGGTGAGAGAATTCACCAGAGCCAGAGCCGGGAGCAGAGCAGGCAGAAGGACTGAAGTACACTGCTGAGGGGAGCAGCGGACGGCAGGAGAGGTCTGCACGCCATGTGGGACCCTCCTCCGGTGGCCGGGGAGCAGCCAGGGATATCAAAGCAGCGCTGCAGAGGCTACGGGCAGCTTCACAACCCAGCGCTCAACCGCTGCGCCACTGGGGATGCCCCTGTAGATAGCTATTTTAAAAGACAGCATTTTGAGGGTCTCCCTGGTAGCTCAGAGGTTAAAGTCTCAGCACTATCAAACTATCACCAGCCATGTAGCATAAGCTCGATTCCCAAGCAAGGAGCTAACCCACATGGCACAGCAGACCTCGACTGACTTGCCTGCTGCTTCACTCAGCAGTGTATTTTTTGGTCAGTCCACCTGTTCTGTTCCCCACTCTGTCTCTGGTGAATCCTCTCACTCCCCAAACCTCTGACCTGTACCCCAGCTCTTGTATGCATAAATAAATAAATCTTTAAAAATAAAATAAAATAAAAATAAGTCTTGGGGGAAAAAAACACAATATTTGCGACAACACAGATGAAACTGGAGAGGATTATGCTAGGCAAAGTAAGTCGTGAGAAGAAAGATAAATATCAGATAGTAGTATTTACATGTGGAATATGAAAGTTACTTTCAGATTAGTTACTAAATTACTATGAGTTAATATACCTCCAACACCATCATTGAATTTACTTTGAGATTCTAAAATAATTAGATACCTTATTGTGTCAGTGAGAAATTATTATTCTTCCCATTAACCACAGTTGAACAAGTACAATAAAGAATTTCAAATTACAGTGATTAAAACAGAACAAAAGATTATACATTTTTCTTAGAAATGCTCATCTCCAGATTTTTAAAGAAAAATTTAAGTCAAATATTTAACTTTCTAACATTGCCAAAACTAAACACTTTAAAAACCAACGGTAGATTAAAAACTAAATGTTCAGACAATAAAAAGTAGTATTAAAGCTTTCAAAACCTAGTCAGGTATAATCAAATATACAAAAAGTCAAATTCCTAAAGAACTCAAGTATATAGTAACAATGTATAGGCAAAACAAATTACTGCTGTGACAGGCAATTATGATGTAATTCCCAATCTTCTCCCCAAAAAACAGAATCTACACTACTTACGTAATAGACGGATCCACTTGTTTGTAAGCATGAGCAGCACAAGAACCACAGTACGTATATCCTGCATGGCTACAAAACAAAATATTTTTTTAAACTTAATCATCAGATTTAAAGTCATGATATTCTGAAAAAATTTCTGAAAGAAACATAGCTATGGTAAACAGGCCAAAATTGAGTACATAAATTAAAAAGCAATGCAACTAATGATGTACTCTCTAGAAAATAATAGGTCACACACAATTGTTTTGTGCTCTAATTTCAAAATTTAGTAACTATTTTGGATTTTTTTTTTTTTTTTGGTCTTAAGAACAGTGAGATTTGGAAATATTCAGGGTTTATTTGAAGTTGCTAATGTAGTAGCACTAATAATACATGAGTTGTTAACATTCCTCTTCAACAGTATTAACAGACTATTGCATAACAATGATAATAACCAAAGGAAGCCAATCAGACCAAAACAAATACCCCACAACTAACTATTCACTTTTCTCTGTGTCTTTAGTTCTTTAGTGGTAAAAGAATTGACTTGGGTCTGCTGGGTATTACGTCTTTTATTTTTTCTCCCTACTCCTCTCCCCTTTCATCCTCTGGTCTCAGCATTAGATTTGTTCCCTTAACGCCTACAGAATAACCGCGTTTCCTGACATCCTTTTACTTTCGTTACTCAAAGTTAAGTAAGTCCAGAAAAATTTCCCTTAGTGCTTACTTCTTAGGGTGTGGCCAGTGGTATGTATACCATTACAAGTATTTAGCAACTGGCTCTGCAAAGGGAAAAAAAAAAAGTATACATATACAGACATAATAAACTTAACAAAAATTTTACTGAGATTAAAAAAATATGTATCAGGGCCTCCCCGGTGGCGCAGCGGTTAAGCGCTGGGTCACGAAGCTGCCCGCGGCCTCTGCAGCACCGGTTCGATCCCTGGCTGCTCCCCGGCCACCGGAGGAGGGTCCCACATGGCGCGCAGACCTCTCCTGCCACCCGCTGCTCCCCTCAGCAGTGTACTTCGGTCCTTCTGCCTGCTCTGCTCCCCGCTCTGCCTCTGGTGAATTCTCTCACCCTCCCGCGCTTCTGACTGTACCCAGTGCATGTATAAACAAAACAAACAAACAAACAAATAAATAAATAATAAAAACATGCCTCAAAAAAAAAAAAAATGTATCATACAATCTACAAATAGTGAAAAATTAAAACTCTTTACAAATTCCACATAGTCAGCTGACCTCTCATAAATGCTTTCATTGAGTTTCACTGAACTCATATTACCTATGGGCAATTGAGGTCTGCAACGGAAAAGAGCAGACTGCAGACCTATGCCTAAACTGACTCACTGAAAAATGACTTGAATGACTTCTTTGCTGATTAGATAACAGCTTTCAAATACTAAAAAGAATATTCTCTTCTTCACTTTTTCTGCTATTCACAACATAAAAGCTATGGATGCATCATAATCTCCATTATTAACCTTTTCCTCATTACTTAAGTATAGATAATCATTAAACAGTAAATAAAGCCCTGATTTGTAGCAGTTCACCGATTAATGTGGACTTAAAATCAATCAGTTATTGTATGCATAAATAAATCTTTAAAAAAATTTATATCTGAAGATATTTAAATTTTTCAAGACAAACCCAGAATGTAAAAAAAAGTAATCATTTTGCAAAACAAAATTACAAGTAAAAAGAACTGTTAAATTTGATTGCATAACAATGTCAATGTACTTAGTATTTACTAAACTGTACACATGGTTAAAATAGGTAAGATGGTAAATTTTGTTATGTCTATTTTATCACAATTTTTTTAATAGGAATAGGAAAAGATGTGAACAGATACTTCATCAAAGATTACAACAGAATGACAAATAAGCCCACAAAACCATAATCCTCTGCCATAAACCATTCACAATGTTATTTTTGTCAATAATTTCTTTCCCACAAAATAAGATTTGCCCATTTTCATTGAGTAAAGCAAAGAGCTATACTTAATTTTTTAGAATAGGTATGTTATAGGTATGGCTCTTGACTGCAGTTATCATTCTGGATTTTTTTTATTCAGGAATTATTTAAATACATTTTATTTAAGTGAAAAAATTCTCAATATTTGTATTAAGGATGACATTAACCAAAAAAAAAAAAATTGGCATTTATTATAAGATTTTACTCTTATTTTTATTCTCTTATCCCTCCCAGTATTCATTTGTACTTATTATTTTTGGAAAATAAAGTTTAAAAACCGTTAAAAAAAAAAAAAAGAATGCGGGGGGGGGGGGCCTGGTGGCACAAAGGGTTGAGCACAGCACTATGAAGCAATCTGCAGCCTCTGCAGCGCAAGTTCAATCCCTGCGTAGCCAGGGAGCTGACCCACATGGCACAGCAGACCTCTCCTGTCTCGCCCGCTGCTCCCCTCAGCAGTGTATTTCAGTCAATCTGCCTGTTCTGTTCCCTACTGTCTCTGGTGAATCCTCTCATGCCCGCCTCGCCCACCCCCACCCGCACCTCTGGCCCCTACCCCAGCTCTTGTATGCATAAATAAATAAATCTTTAAAAACAGAAAAAAGAATGCTCAACATCATTTAGTCATTAAGGAAAAGCAAATTGAAACTATAATGAGCTACCACTAAGCACCCACTAAGATAGCTAAAATTAATGAGGAACCATAGCAAGGTTGTAGAACTGAAACTCAAGTTGTGCTTGTGAAAATATAAAAGGGTACATCTACTTTGGAAAACAGTTTGGCAATTTCTTAAGGTAAGTAAACATACTACTACCACATCACCTAACTATTCCACTCCTAAGAAAAATGTCCACACAAAAAATTCCAGCTTTATTTGCAGTAGCCACAAACTGTAAACAACCAAATGTTCCTTCAAAGGTAAATGGATTAACAAAAGTGAGGGATATATCCACGCAATGGAGTACTCTTCAACAACAGAAAGGAGTGGACTAGTAACACACTCAAAGTAATAAAGATAAAAATAAATATACTGAGAAAAGTAGGTAAAAAAATTTCTATTGTATGATTCCATTTAAAAACTCTAGAAAATAAAGCTAATCTACAGTGACAGAAAGTCAATCAATGGACATGGGAGGAGAAACAGGGAAGAGAAATACAGAAGGTAAGAAGTATAAAAGGGCACAAGGAAACTTTTGAGCATAAAGACACTCATTATTTTTTTTTTTTTAATAGAGGCATGTTTTACTTATTTATTTTATTTTGTTTTGTTTTTTGTTTATACATGCACTGGGTACAGTCAGAAGCGCGGGAGGGTGAGAGAATTCACCAGAGCCAGAGCGGGGAGCAGAGCAGGCAGAAGGACCGAAGCACACTGCTAAGGGGAGCAGCGGGCGGCAGGAGAGGTCTGCGCGCCATGTGGGACCCTCCTCCGGTGGCCGGGGAGCAGCCGGGGATCGAACCGGCGCCACAGAGGCTGCGGGCAGCTTCGCAACCCAGCGCTCAACCGCTGCGCCACCGGGGAGGCCCAGGACACTCATTATTTTAACTTTGGTGATGGTTTCACAAGTGTACACATATTTCAAACATCAAGTTGTATACTTTAAGTATGTGTAGTTGTATGTTAATACAATAAAGCTCTTTTAAAAAATGGTTCTGATCTGAACTATCTTAAGATATGAATTGAGAAAAAAGAGATTCATGTAAGTCAATCATAGCAATATAAAACAGTAGTATGCTTAATCAGGAACTAAGTGATCTAGGACATACAATGGCTTGGTGGGATTATTTGTAGGCACTCTATCCTTACACTTATGGCCAGGAAGTCTATCAAATTGCCTCATTTCAGATATACTCTCACAATCCAGTTCTAATCATAGCCAGCAATAAATAAATATAGGGGCACAGCGGTTGAGCGCTGGGTTGTGAAGCTGCCTGCAGCCTCTGCGGCACCGGTTCGATCCAAGGCTGCTTCCCAGCCACTGGAGGGTCCCGCATGGCGCGCAGACCTCTCCTGCCGCGCGCTTCTCCCCTCAGCAGTGTACTTCGGTCCTTCTGCCTGCTCTGCTCCCCGATCTGGCTCTGGTGAATTTTCTCACCCTCTCGCGCTTCTGACTGTACCCAGTGCTTATATAAATAAATAAATAAATCTTTTTTTAAAAAATACAATGAAATAAAATAAATAAATATAATTTGTTCTATGGTTCGGCATATTCAGCTTTGCTGTCATCAGACTTTGATACTCTTGCCTAACAAGGGCCTCTATTTTTTTCTACTAATGTCCCCAATTTCCACTACCTGATAGCCCAATATTGACTATTTCAGATTCCTAAAATACCTGTTCCTTAGCATTCCTGCCTCCCATGTCAATTCAGATATATGCTATATGCTATCTTGCCTGGCCATATGGATCCTAAATACCTGATCCGTCTGGATCTGTCCTGGTCTGCTCCAGCTTCAGTGGTATCTCAGATTTTGACACTGCTCTTGTTCAGTTGTCAATGATATCCCATGTTTCCACTTTCAAGCCTTATACCTTAAATAGTTCCCTTAATCTTATATTTGCTCTTCAGACTTTAGTTCCTATTTGCTATTCTTGAATTTAAAGGCCCTGACTCCCAGTCCATATTCTGATCTCTAATACTATGATTTACAGGAAATATATATCTATTTGGTCATCAAGTTGGCTAAAATGTAACTCTCATACATATAGGGCCATCATCCACAGTTCTCTGCACATATCTCCCCTTGAAATTCCCTAAGGGTTATGAAAGATAAAAGTATCTCCTGCTATGTTCTTGAACGCAGCTTTTAGGAAACACCTGAGGATGGGGTTTTTGCCAGGAGAACCAACCAAATGATGAGTGGGTTGGAACTCAACTTTCAGCCCCTATCTCTTCTCTGTAGAGATCAAGGGGGTAGGACTGTCTACAGAGAAGAGATAGGGGCTGAAAGTTGAGTTAAACTTACAATGGCCATGGAAAAATGGGAAGAGTGGCATGTGTTCATAGGGCATGGACCTTCCATGCCTTTTTCTTATGCCTTGTCCTATGCATCTCTTCCATGTGTATACTCATTGGTATCATTTAGTATCCTTTGTTATAAATCAATGATCTGG